TTTTTTTTAAGCTGGAAATTCCAACTTTAATCTTGGCTTTTCCAACTTTAAAGTTGGTAATTCCAACTTTAATTTTGGATTTTTCAACTTTAAAGTTGGTAATTCCAACTTTAATCTTGGCTTTTCCAACTTTAAAGTTGGTAATTCCAACTTTAATCTTGGCTTTTCCAACTTTAAAGTTGGTAATTCCAACTTTAATCTTGGCTTTTCCAACTTTAAAGTTTGGAAATTCCAACTTTAATCTTGGCTTTTCCAACTTTAAAGTTGGTAATTCCAACTTTAATCTTGGCTTTTCCAACTTTAAAGTTGGAAATTCCAACTTTAATCTTGGCTTTTCCAACTTTAAAGTTGGTAATTCCAACTTTAATCTTGGCTTATCCAACTTTGACTTTTAACGTTTTAGGAAGGAATTTATTATTTACTTATTATTAATTTTTTGCTTGGCAACATATTTCTTGCTGGGGTGCCCCCCCCCCCCCTTTTGAAAAAAAATCCTGGATCCGCGCCGGTACGGAATTGATACATATAATTATGTTGTATATAATTTAGCAGAAAATGTTTCATTTGATTAAATAAAATTTGATTACATTGAGTATTTAATTTAATGTCTCATTCTTTCATACAATACATAATAAATCACTAATATCTGTAACTGGTTAAGTTGAAATCCTGTCATGTACGGAATACTGTGTACATAATTTAAGTTATTCTCAATAGAATTACACAAGAAAATTTAAAGGAATATAAGGATTTCTAAGTAAAAGTTGGAAGTTTTATGTAAGGTCATAAGGAAGGTAAAGGTAAAAAAATAAAACAAACACAGATAAAAAGAAGTCAACAATTTATTTTAATGTGCTAGTTTTTATTTTCCATTGTAAAGGTGCCGTATTATAACTCCTCATAATCCCGTCCGCTCTTCTTACCCCACCCCTATTTCGACCCCTACCCCTAGATTGCAATGATAAATTGCTAACAAATGTATTTCAGTGTGTTATTTTCACTTTAATTAAGTTTGTGATACTTTAAACAAAAGAAAAAACTAAGAAAAGCGGGTAGAAAAGCCAAGATTAAAGTTAGAAAAACCAACTTTAAAGTTGGAATTACCAGCTTTAAAGTTGGAAAAGCCAAGATTAAAGTTGGAATTACCAACTTTAAAGTTGGAAAAGCCAAGATTAAAGTTGGAATTTCCAACTTTAAAGTTGGAAAAATCAAGATGAAAGTTGGAATTTCCAACTTTAAAGTTGGAATTACCAATTTAAAAAAAAAATTGCATGGCACTATTACGCTTCCGTAGTTTTTAATATAACTTGGCACATAAGTAGACTACACTAAGGTACATAATTAATTATTTCAGTTTTTATTTTCGATGAACGGTGTTGCAGTGGTTACTAAAAATAGAAATTTCTGTAAATTCTATCAAAATGCTACTCCTCTTACAGTTTTGGTCTGCTTTCAATATAACTTGGCACACAAGCAGACTACACTAAGATACATAATTCTGTATTACGTTTTTTGATTTCGATGAACGGTGTTGCCGTGGTTACTAAAAATAGAAAGTTCTGTAAAATTCTTTCAAAATGCTACTCCTCCTACAGTTTTCGTCATGATTTCAATATAACTTGGCACACAAGTAGACTACACTAAAATACATAATTCTGTGTTTCAGTTTTTGATTTCGATGAACAGTGTTAGCATTGTTACTAGAAATAGAAATTCCTGTGAAATTCTTGCAAAATGCTACTCCTCCTACAGTTTTGTTCTGATTTCAATATAACTTGGAATACAAGTAGACTACACTAAGATACATAATTTTGTATATCAGTTTTTGATTTCGATGAACGGTGTTAGCATTGTTACTAACAATAGAAATTCCTGTGAAAATCTTTCAAAATGCTACGTACTCCTCTTATATTTTTAGTCCGATTTCAATATAACCTGGCATACAAGTAGACTACACTAAGGTATATAATTCGGTATATCTTTTTTTTTTATTTTGATGAACAGAGTTGCCGTGGTTACTGAAAATAGAAATTTCTGTGAAATTCTTTCAAAATGCAACTTGTCCTACAATTTTGGACTGTTTTTAATATAACTTGGCACACAAGTAGACTACACTAAGATTCACAATTCTGCATATTGGTTTTTGATTTGGATGAACATTATTGCCTTGGTAACTAAATATATAGAAATTCCTGTTAAATACTCTCAAAATGCTACTCCAAATCCCGTTTTAGTTTGATTAAAATGTAATATGGCGTGTAAGTAGACTACACTAAGAACATTAAGAGACGTAATCAAGGATCGTTTTTCTATTTATTGCTCCTGTAAAATTTCAATTCCCAACTGCTTAAGTACTTTTCTCTTCCTTTGCTATAAGTACAAACCAGTAGAGCTTGAGTCTCGACAGAGACTTCTGATTTATGATTAAAGAGTTTTTAATACCATCAGGTTTCCATGACTTTTAACATTTTTTTCTTAACCAAGACTTTGTTGGGTAACAGCTTTTCTATCGGATACATTATTTGTGAGTATCCAGATGCGTCTTTAAGAAATCTGAGTGTGATCTTGTAAGACGTTGAACGCTCTGGGGATGATCAAAAGGGCAAACAGGCGGCAGACATCATCTTTAAACACGACACTATAAAGAAGGAAATTTTATTGTGTTTACAGGCCAACATGGTGTCAATGGAGAATGAAATCACCCAGCTCAAAATCGGGATGGATGACATGGAGAGTATTCGCGAAGAAACTGCCTCAAATTCACTGGCATTCCGGGGGCAGAAAAGGAAAACACTAACAGATGAATAGAATATCATTTATTTCCAATTTTGGGCCCACGAAGGGCATTCAAGAAAAATACAACATAAATAAAATATAAAGCTAACGAAAGGAAGAGATCCAAATGATAGTTGAATTCATATGCAACAATGAATATGTATAAAATATGATAAAAGTACACAAACGAAAATATTATGCCACATCATGCATAAATTTTAGTGGATATCTACCTTGTCTGCATATTATATCATTCTCGACTTTCAGGAACATCCTGAGACAACACTGGATCTTTTATTGTAACATTTAAATATATATTCTGCAAAACTATTTATTAAGGTCTTCCGTTTCCAACGGAAGACCTTCTACTGATTCTGTCTGTAAAGATTATTATTCTTTTTTTTTTTCTTCTACTTCCTAGACGCCAACTTTGAGGCCTCATATCTCACTCATTTCTCAACAGATTTCGCTCAAATTTTCATAGGTTATAGACGTTTATAAACTCTATCAGAATAATGACTAAAATTCCAAAAAATCACTTCCGGTTTTGAGTTATTCCCCTTTAAACGAAAAATCATAGGCTTTCGTTTCCGGATAAAGGCTCAGAGACCACAAAAGCTGGAGCAGAAATTTTACTTGTTTTAGATAACAGAAGGATTGAAGTTGTGCACATCGGTTTTTGTTTTTCGATTTCTGCATTCAAAATGGCGCTATATAGGGGTCAAAAATTAGAACGCCTAAAAGAGCGAAATTTTACAGATATTTTCCTTTTTATCTTGAAAACTAAAAATATTTTGTTAAGACATGTTGGATAAAAGTTGTGCATAATTACAAGCGCTTTCATCTGATATCATTAAAAAGGGGCTGGCCCCTAAAATTAGGGATCTAGGGCCCTTGAAAGTTTTTGTTTATTATCTCAAAAAGTATTGAGAATTTGTAATACGTCAAATAAGCAAAGTTGTTCAAAATGTCAAGCTTTATCTAATGAGGTTGTCAAAATACGTCCGGGGACGTCACTTCCGGTCAAACCGGAAGTAGTCAAAAATTGCATATTTTTGTTGTTCTTGACAGGTTTTTGGATGTCATATGCCACTGGAAACTTAAATCTTAATTTTCCGTCCGTTGACGGTACTTCCGGTCAAACCGGAAGTTGCCAAAAATGCTTTGATTTTGCAAAAATGAACATAGATTTGGAGAATTAAACCATTTTTCGACTTAATTACTCTTTTTTTTTTTAATTAAAGTTACTTCCGGTCAAACTGGACGGAAGACCTACTCGTTGCTTTGCAACGAGCTCGGCTCTAGTTATATCACTACTTTCATTTGACATTAGCCATATAAATTTATTTCTATTTGAAAGTGAAGAGAAATTTTTATTTTCTTCACTTATATGACTAATGAATACTTGCCTATATAGTTTATAAGTTGAACATTCAAATATAAAATGGATTTCATCTTCTACAGAGTCTGAAGCACAAAGTTTACACTTTCGATCCGTGGCAGGCACATTTCTGTATCTGCCAGTTTCAATTTCAAGCTTATGTGAACTAATACGGAAGTTTGTAAAACATTTAAGAACTTCTGGTTTTGATATCATAGAAAAATATTTTTCTTTTTTTAGTCTTGTTTTGTATAATCCATATGTTCGAAGTTTGCCTTTTTCATTTCTAACACACTCTGATAAATTATTTTGCCATATATTAGTAAATCTTCTATTTAGTTCATTATAAACTATTGATGGAAGGTTTTCAGCCAAGATGTTGTCACAGGATATTCCTAATTAATTGTTCCAGCATAAAATGAATACTACTCAACCAACAGCTCTTTCTAGTATTATTCAATATTATATTTTCTTGCAGTGCACTTGCTCGTAAAGTACTATCTGATTTATAAATATGTTGCAAATATTTGGTACAATTATACAAGATTTCAATATACAATGGATGTTGTATTGTTTTGTATTAGTCTTATAATGTGGGTTCCCTGACTGGATATGCGGATTCACAACTGACAACACGTGTGTACAAAACAGGAAACGTTTATTCAACGACACACATAAAAGTAACTCGTACATCATTCAGTTCGTACATTTACATATTCGTATTACAATAACATTATATCTCCCTTCTTTTGAGTGAATAACATGTATGCAGAAAAAAGAAAAAAAATACAAAAATCTGAAAACACATGTTTGACCTAACAAGACCATTCTCCTACTTAAATATCTACATAGACACAATTATTTTGGGCCTAACAATCCTACCATAACGAGTTATGTAAGGGGAGGGGTTACATGTAGCAGGGGGGTCATGCTTAGCCTCAGTAGCTGGTTCGGAGATTGGTTCAACAGTACTGGGAAGACTAGTTGCCGTAGTTGGAATGGGAGGTGAGGTACATGTAGAAGGTTCTGCGAAATTGACGATATTGGAATCTGATACATCAGGCTCGAACTTTTCTTTTGACTTGATCAGGTGTCGTCTGTTTCTCCGGTATACTGCTCCCTCAGTGCTTTTAACTGTGTACGATCTGTCTCCTTCTTCTTTGGTGACTATTCCTTGTTTCCATAGTTTCCCTTCTTGGTACCTTATACTGTCTCCTACTGAAAGCGGTGGTAAAGGCTTAGCACTGCGATCATAGTATCCTTTCTGTTTCTCTCTCTCTGCTACCATCAATTCCTTAACTCTGACTGGCACCTTTGGTTTCAGCTCATCTGGAACTACTGGAAGTATGGACCTCAACTTGCGACTCATCAATAGTTGGGCGGGCGAGTAGCCTAAGCTCAAAGGTGTTGTCCTGTACTCTAGTAGTCCTAGGTTATAATCTTTCCCATCTGCCTTGCTCTTGTCCAAAATTCTTTTGGCAATCTGTACTGTCTTTTCCGCTAGTCCATTGGACTGTGGATACTTTGGACTGGAAGTGACATGGTTAAAGTCATAATCCTGAGCAAATGTGGAGAAATCTTGGCTTGCGTATTGTGGACCATTATCCGATACGACTTTTCGTGGAATACCAAGCCTACTAAACATCTTCTTCATCTTCTCTATAACAGCTTGACTGGTTGTCTTGTGTAGTTTCTCTACTTCAAAGTATCTACTGTAGTAATCAACTACTAACAGGTACTCCTGGTTGTTCCATGTGAACAAATCTGTAGCTATGGTCTCTCATTAAGATTGTCTGGAATATCATGACTGATCAGTGGCTCCTTGGGGTTCGAGTTTCTTCTCTCTAAGCAAACTCCACATTCCAGAACCATGTTTGTGATGTCTGTTGACATCCTGGGCCAAAATATAATGTCTCTAGCTCTCCTTAAGCATTTTTCCACACCCATGTGACCTATATGTACAGCTTCCATCATCTGGCGTCTTAAATCTCTTGGTATGATTATCTTGTGACCCTTAAATATAATGCCATCTATCTCTGTCAACTCATCCCTGTGGTTCCAATACTCTAGTGCTTGGGATGGACATTTCTTGCGTTTATCGGGCCAACCATCATGTATAATGTTCATAAGTATCTTCATCTGTGGATCAGCTTGGGTTGCTAATCTGACTTCCTCTAATCTTCTATCACTCATCCTTGTACTGGACATAACTGTGTGCACATGTAAGTCCATGCCTGCTGTTAGCTGTGGGTAAGTATCTGGCAAAAACTTGCGTGAAAGTGTATCAGCAATAGGTATGTCCTTGCCTGGGATGTGCGTCAACTTCAGATCATAAGCCTGCAGTTGCAAAAGCATCCTTTGTAGCCTTGCTGGAGCCTGTGCGAGTGGCTTTGCGTGAATGGCAACTAGGGGTTTGTGGTCTGTATGGACCTGGACTTCCCTACCATATAGGTACTGGTGAAATTTCTTGCAGCCAAATAGGAGACAACATCTCTTTTTCTATCTGGGCGTACTTGATTTCTGCTGGGGTTAGTGACTTCAAAGCAAATGCAACTGGTTTGCCATCCTGCAAAAGTGCTGCTCCGAGCCCAAACTGAGATGCGTCAGTCTCCAACACCACTGGTTTTCCCGAGTCAAGGTATGTAAGCAGAGGTCCAGGTGTTCTGGTTATTAGGTCTTTGACCTTCTGGAATGCCTGGGCCAGTGGTGTATCCTATATAAATTCCGTGTCTTTCAGCAGCAGCTGACGTAACGGGCTGGTGATGTTAGCAAGATTTGGTGCGAACTTTGAAAGGTAAGTGATCATACCCATGATAGTCTGAAGCTCTGACTTATTAGAAGGGGGCTCCATATCCCTGATAGCAGCTACCTTAGAGGGATCTGGCTTCAATCCATCTGCTGAGAGGATGTGGCCAAAATATTCAACTTCCTGAACTCCCACTTGTAACTTCTCCTTGTTCATCTTGATGCCCACACTCCTGCATTTATCTAACACCTTGATGAGGTTGTCATTGTGCTCCTGTGGGGTCCTGCCGTAAACCAATATGTCATCAACAATGGCAGCAACTCCGGACATTCCTTCGAAGCATTGGTCTATCTTCTGCTGGAAGATGTCTTGTGAGTTCTTCAAGCCAAATGGTAAACGCAGGTAGCGATATCTCCCGAATGGAGTATTGAATGTAGTGAGCAGTGACGATTCACGTGAAAGTCCAACAGTCCAGTAACCAGAGCTGGCATCTAGCTTGGAAAAGTACTTGGCACCTGAGACTTGAGGAAGGATATCATCCAAGGTCCTCATAGGGTAGTGTGGTCTCATAATGGCTTTGTTGAGTTCCATGGGATCCAAACATACTCTAAGCTTTCCTGATGCTGGCTTTGTAGTAACGACTAATGAGTTCACCCATTCTGTTGGTTCTGTTACCTTAGTGATGATTTGCGCTGACTCCATTCTTTCTAACTCTACTTTTAGCTTGTCGCGTAGGGCTACAGGCACCTTTCGCGGGGGGTTGACAACCGGTCTAACATTTGGATCAACCTGAAAAGTACATTCTCCTGCAAACAGACCTATGCCGTGAAATACATCTGAGTACTGACTAAGTACATGACTCTTACTGAAGGGCATAACCTTATCAATAGAGTAAGTGAGGTGAACTATGCCTAAATCTAAGCATGCTCGTAAACCTAGAATTGGGTGCGAATGTGTCTGTACGACCTGATACTCAATGCTATAATCTTTACCCTTAAGGTTGCTTTGAATAACAGAATAGCCTATGGGGTGTACAGAGTGGCCATTATAAGCAAATAGCTTGATCTTAGATTTGCCTAATGTGTGATAGGGGGCTAAATCAATGTACAAAGATTCGGGCAAAATATTGACTTGAGACCCTGTATCTACTTTGAACCTAACCTCTTTGTGGTTTGGGCCTAGCTTAATGTTAATAAATGCTTGATCATGCTCAACATTGCTATCAACATTGTCAATATTAAAATCTGAATCTGACTCATGAACAAAATTGCCAAACACATTACATGTATCATGATTAATGTCAACAGATCTCTGTGTATTGTCACTTTCACGATTAACATTGTTCATTTCACTGGGCTTCTGCAGACAGTCACTCGAGTTCACATGGTTAATGTCATTTACGGATCGCGAACGACACACACTGGCGAAGTGGTTCCACTTGTGGCAGTTGTTGCACCTCTGACCTTGTGCCGGACAAGTATCCTGAGTTCCATGTCGCTTTCCGCACTTTCCGCATGGCTTCGTCTTCGGGGTAGACGGAAACTTTGTCGGAGTCTTTGGCGGAGTGCATCGCGTCTTCGTCTGGTGGGGTGGTCTCCTTCCGCTCCTCTCTGCAGGTGAGTGTGCATGGGGGGTAGACTTGGACAATGCTTGTACGTGTACCGATTGCTGTCCCATGAGTTTGAGCTGTTCCTGAGAGTACTCGTATGCCTGAGCTATCTGTACAGCCTTATCCAGGGTAAGTGTCTCGCCAACGTTAATAAGTTTTTCCCGGATTTTTTCCGATTGTATCCCAAACACAACCCTGTCTCTAATCATTTCCTCCGCATCTTTAAAATTGCAGTCTCTTGCTAATAGTTTCAGTTTTGTTACAAACTGATCAAACGTGTTTGTTCCCTGTACTCCATTGTTAGACTTGTATCTGGCGGAGATTGGGTTTAACTTGGGTTGAACGTACCTGAGAAATCTATCATAGTGTGGTTGTAGTTTCTTCATGTCGTCGTTCGAAAATGCTGGAAAAGTGTTATAAATATCACGACCTTTCTCGCCAATCCACAATAGAAGGTATGAGACTTGTTCTTCTTCATTCTTTTCTTTCAATGGGCCTGCGAAAATCAGCTTCACATGTTGTTCAAACTTTTTCCAGGCTTCGGGCAAATTCGAACTAGACCAGTCCATGGTCGGTGGGGGAATGCCGCATAATTCCATGATAGCCGTGTCTTACTTGTGAAGGTGGAACTATCCGCCACTTCTGACACCATGTATCGTTTTGTATTAGTCTTATAATGTGGGTTCCCTGGCTGGATATGCGGATTCACAACTGACAACACGTGTGTACAAAACAGGAAACGTTTATTCAACGACACACATAAAAGTAACTCGTACATCATTCAGTTCGTACATTTACATATTCGTATTACAATAACATTACAGATGTCTGCCTAATTCACCCATAACAGCATGGTTAGAAGCTTTCTTGTGAACCCCACAAATATATTTTAGAGCTTTGATATGTAGTTTATCACTAAATAACCTTTTAAAGGAATTTTCTATTTCATAATTTGTCCTTTTAACAACTGCAGATTCTTTGTTTATAGTGCCCCAGATCTCACTTCCATATAAAACAACAGGTTTTACAGTATGATCAAAAAGATGTAACAAGATATTTGCATTTGGTTTGGTATTACCAAAACATTTTACCAATTTAAAGAAAGCTTTCAAACCACGCTTATAGAAATCATACTGACATTGAGCAAATGAACCAGATGCATTGAATAAAACCCCTAGATACTTATATGACAATGTACACTCAATTTCATGACCTTTATATATAAAATGTAAATTTGTGAGTCGTGCATTTTTGTAAAAGATTACAACTTTTGTTTTTTTTCTCAAATTTACAGTAAGACAATATTTATCACAAAAAGTGGCCAGCTTGTTCAAACAATTCTGTAGGCCTTTTGGAGAAGATGATAATAAAACAAGATCATCAGCATAGAGAAGACAACTAAGAGGTTCATTATTCAAATATACTTGATCATCTTCACTGTTAAACATATCTGGTAGTTCATTAATAAGGATTTTAAACAAGTTTGGACTCAAATTATCAGATGTGTTCTTAATGTAATAAACAAACCAATTTTCAAAGGAACGGATATCAAATATAACAATTCAAAGATTGGTAGGACCCATGCAGTTGGTCCTTATAAAGAAGAAATAGAAGCTCTAGAGATTTCATTAGCTACCGAATTCGGTCTACAGAAACAAAAAGAACTTTAAAGCCGTTTAAAAACAATCCTAGCAATGTGGGAAAAATATTCATAAATGAAGCGCTCACGAGCCCGAGATCAAAACTGTATACCACTTCCGGGAGACCCATGCAAGAGAAGATAGACAGTAACCGGGCAATTGGCGGCCGGATAAAGCTTAAACTTCTAAACAAGAAAATCTGACAATACTACGCGAGGAGCTGTCTAAATTGGGCCTTGATTTGTCAATCGTAGCTACGTCTCACCAGGAAGCGTCTACGCCTTACAGAAGCTCAACTCACCTGTGAGTATACCAAAGTACTTTATGAGCCAAAACCTTCCATCCCTTTGCTAATAGAGACATATTTCGTGTTTATTCTTTCTCTTAAAGAAAAACGCACGCTAACGCTCGATTCCCGTCTAAATTTTGGAACCATTTAATTCAATATAAATAGCAATTTGGCCATAAAATCTTTGTTTTATACAAAGAACATTTCAATGGCAATTGATGAATTCCCTAATACCAGCGCTGAATGGTAAATTATCCATAAATCCAGCTCTTGAAAAAGGGGGGTAGACGATATTTTCCATTGAAATCGAGAGTTTCAAGCATCACCAAATCTTGAAATAGTCTTGGATATGATTAAATGTTCATTATATCTTTTCTTATGTTATAAGCAAACTTAAATATATCAATAAAATATGATGCTTCAGTTGTAAATCGCTTTGAAATTTGTGGAAAATAAGCATTTTTTTCTCGTTTTTTGTCAATAAACATATCCCCCCCCCCCGTGTCACACAAAGAGCTTTGGTATGGATTTTTGAAAGAACATTCCGTATTACCTGTAAAAAGGAATTTTTTGTGACACGGGGTGGGAAAGAAGTTTTAAAAATATTTTCCGTTTTCCGTTGATTTCTATAGTGAACAATACAAGGTTTACCAAAAGTTTAAAGTTATCTCTCTTTGTTTCCCAAATAAGTAATGTTTTATGAAAATCCATATAATTAGCTATAAAAAATATTAAAACTTTTGAAAATTGACTTGGAGGTAGTCGGGAGAACAATACTTTTGTTCGCAGTTCTTATCTGTTATCATCTGAGTCCACGAAGCGCTTGACGATTCTATTATTAGTGACAATAATTTTCCACCTCTAAAAATAAAGCTAAACAACCGATAGTTACTTCACGTCAAGGCGGAGTCTTTCCCATGCTTCTAGCTAAAGTGTTATTATGTTACACTTTCAACATTTTCTGTAAATACATTTACATCTTCATTTTTCCATTATCATGTTTTTGCGCACATGTAACTTTTGTTTACTTTTATTAGTCCCCTACCGGTGAAACCACACGAGTCTATAGGTTTCCTCTGCGTCCGTCTGTCAGTCTATCCCACTTGGTTTTCCACACTTTCTTTTCTTTATGCGTTTCTGAATTGATTTGAATTTTGCTGTGTTCCTTTATAGTGATAAACTACAGTTCAAGTTTGAATTTTGTTACATTTGACCGAAAGTACTAGAGTAATTATAAGTTTTAAACATTCCTCTTTTTTTATAATCAAATCAATCTTATTTCTGGAATTATCATTTTTCTCAGTATCTGCAGATAATCACACTTTGATGCAGTGATGGTTTTCAACTTTATTTATTCTTTCTCATGTGAAAACAATTCATTAGAAAATCACTTTTTATTATGTCTTTTTCTGCGCAATTGCACTCAAAGAGATGAAAGTTTGGGTGCTATGTACAACAGTTATTTCGTGACATTGGACATGGACAACAACAGAAACAAACATGATCAGATTAAACCTGTAAAAGGTTAAGGATGTCTAAAAATAGTCAATAAAACAAGTCAATAATTGTTTTGGCGTGCTTGTCATGGCCATTTAATAAAATATTAGATATAATACAATGAATGCGCCGATGATGATTGTATGGCAGCATAGGTAAATGAATATGGATAATCATAAGCAAGAGAAATACCATCTTGATCCAAGGAGCTTGGAAAAAACAGCACCCCCCGGAGACAGCATTCTTTGCAAAATTATGCTTAACAAAGTTAAAAACACCACACACAACTGGAACTTTGAAAGGTCTGCCAAGCACATCAATAAGCCGGTGGATCCTATTCAGCATTTGATCCATGCCGTGACGCTGAAACGAGAAATTAAACGAAAACGAGAAAAACACCAAAAAGAAAATTTACATTGCAATAAAACATGACATAGATGCTAAAGGGAAATAGAAAATCGACTTAGGGGGAGGGAGGGTAGGTTTAAAAATTTTGTGCGTCTGCTTCACTCAAATTACGGAATAAAAAGGAATATTCTAGAAGACATGCGCATTCAACAAATATTTTTGAGCACCGAACCCGATGAATTATGAACGTAATGACTAGGAGTTATCGATCTTAGCATATGTAAAAAACTAAGCTGCACGAAATAACCAGGTTTATCCATATAATATTTGATAAACTCCATTAATTTGTGACCAGTTGCTTCTTGAATTCTGTTGAACATGATAATGGATTGGTAATTATTCAACACAATGTGTAGTAATCATACAATGTACCTATCCACACCTCACTGCAGTGTGACTGCACACAATATGGTAAATCTAGACAGTTACTCTAACAATAAAAAACATCTTTTGCTTAAATATAAGTGCTCAAACGCTGCAATGTTAAAACCACCCTGTTTTGGATTGCTTTTTTAAAACCTCCCTAGTTTAAATAATATGTTAATGGTGCAACTGGTATACTTACACACTTTTAATTTAGATTGGGCTCGTCAAACTGCACTTGACATTTGGTGCGTCTAGACTATGACCTCACATGACATCATATAATTAAGTTGCATTACCAAACCGAAGACTGAACATTGTTGACTTAAGAATGTTTAATTTACCAATTATCTGCAATATATCCATTAATCAAGGTGAACTTATTTTTTGTGTGAACTTTTTTTATTCTCGCAAGACCGTACCTTAAACAAGCTACGGTAGGTAATTCTAGCTATGTAGCTAAATGTACTGATTGTACTGGACCTGGTAAGCAGTCGTGTTTACTTACTTGTTGTTATCCATGCATTTTGTGATTTTATTAGTCCCCTACCGGTGAAACTGGAGTGGACTGCAGGTTTCTGTTGGATAGGAATACAATGTATTTAAATCAATTGATCAAACTGAGTTGATACAAGGATTGAAATTCCTTGTATGTACAAAATATAGTTCAATACAAAATGTGAAGACAAAATGGCCTCCCCAGATGTATAAAAAAAAATAAAGTTGATGAATCTATAGACAGTGAACTTAAAGCGATAATATTTGACATTAAAAAAAAATGACAAAGGAAGTGCACAAGAGCAGTTGAGAGAATTCGAAGCAAATTAAAGTCCCATGAGGGACAAATTCAGTTCAAAATCTCAGAGCTGCATCAAGAATTAAAAGAAGAGAAATGCTTACATGCAAAGATGTCTGAGGAAAATTGAAAAAAAAAAATATTGGAGACCGCTGAATCTAAAGATTCTGAAATTCAGTGTCTTTAGCTGAGATTAGAATCCTATGAATAAGACTTCTCATTTGAAGAGATCTCAGAAATGTCGATCTTCTTCACCAATCTGCAGTTCATCTTCAGCAGCCTTCGTCCAAACTTGACAGAGTGATGATAATGGGGACATAAAGTCTAAAGGTCTTCATCAGAATCCAAATGCTGAACAATAACTGTTATTTTTGCTTCGAATTATTTTTGTTCTTTCTTTTAATATAACATGTTAATATAAAGTTTGTGGAGAAAATAGTCCATTAAGTTAAGTCTACATATCTTAATCAAAGTCGAAGTGCAGCGCAGTAACTAGTTGACTTCTTTGCATCCAGTTATGACCTTTTTTTTTACCTCTCGTTTTAATACAAGTGATATTTACATGTGTTAATGAGAAAATAGTCCCTAACATCATTACATGTAGTT